GAACATAGGACAATTTTGGAAGGGAACAAGGGAACAAGGACACCCCCTCGGAGACCCTCATTGTCTATTCCACAAGGATTAAGCTTAATTGCTTTGGATATTGGGGCCCAGACCAGGCATAGGTATTTTGCCGTTCAAACCACGCTAAAAATTTCGTAGATTCTTTAAAGAATTATAGTCAAATACCTGAGGAGGATACCTTCGGCGAACTTGTTACTGGAAAAATGGCATCTTGAAGTGCCGTGATCGATAATGGATCTATTATGAATTTTCCAAGTTTTCTGTCTCGCGCGGCGTATTTCAGGACAGAAATAATGTTGTCAGTATCTACTGTTCGCTCGAATCTTAAACTGAAAATTACTACCACACTGCCTCTTCTGTTAAAATAAAGAAAGCAAGATATAAGATGAAAAAAAAAAAAGAAATACTTCCACACTAAAAGTTATATCATAAGGTTGTACTTTTGCAAACTTTGGGAAAAAACTGAAAGTCACTCACTCGAAACGTAGGATTTCAACGCCTTTGAAGTTCTTATCAGTTCTGAAGAGATTTCCGACCTAGAAAAAAAACAAAACTGTTTTTCAATACGGATTTCTGATCTTTAAGAGATCTCTATGATATGTCATTCTTTCGCATAGCGATGGACTTTAAGACTTACCGCTTCAATACCACGCTCTAAGAGGTTCTGGTATCTTCCGCTTTCTTCGTCCGTGAGACTCGTGTCATATTCCTCATTAGTAATTGTCATCTTTACATTTATCAAAGTACTGGCTCTTTCTAATATGAAAAAAAAAAATAGCTTTTAGTACTCTAGGCAAACGTAAATAGTAGAAAGAGAAAACAAAACAACAAAACCGGAAAAATAAAGCTGAATTAAGGGAAATGCAGTGTTGTTAGGATAACCTCATAAGTAAGTAAGAAATCGTTGCAACATGTATATATATAATTGTACATATCTCAGAATCACACTGAAAGAAACAAAAGAAAATTTGTGGAAGCTAGGATACATTGAGGATTATATAGTTATCATAACCACTGTTTCTATCTGTGGTGCGTGAATACTTAGAAATATGTCTATCTAAATTTGCCCGCATCGAAAAAGTAAAACTTGAGCTGTCAAATTTCTTTCGAAGCACGAAGCAAGTGTTTTTCGATGCTGTCGGTTGATTTCCTAATTTTTCTCTTTCGAGACCCTCGATAAAAAAAAAAAAGAAAGAAAGAAAAAAAAAAGAAAGAAAAAAAACACAATGACTATACACTGCTGCAAAAATTAATTTCTTCAGAGGGCAGAGCTACTCACCCGCGACATCAAGATATGTACCAGCAGTGGCTAGAGAACCAATTCCATTTTGTGCTGTACATTTATACCATCCTTGGTCGCCGAATCTTGCGGAATCAACATGAAGTTTACTTCTACTCCCGACATTGTTTTTGTGAGTCCAAGATATGGTCGGTACCGGATTTCCCACCGCTCGACAACAGAGGGTTACATTTTTACCCAACTGAACTGTCTGGTTGATAGATATATCCGTTATCTGGGCAGGATCTGTTAAGAAGCGAAAGTTATAGATTTTCTTTTTCTACGAATGCGATACATACTTTTAAGGAATTCAGTTGTGGATGCAGAATAGACTGGATACCCTCAGTTTCTTTTATACCTAACTGATTTTACTTACAGTTTACATCAATTTCGCAGAATTCTGTGCTGTTGTTTCCGATTCCGTTCCAAGCAAGGCACTCGTATCTACTAGAGTCACCGCGTTTGATGTCTTCTATAAACAGTATTTCACGGTTTGAAAGTGTCTTTCTTGTATTTGCTCTGTTCCATACTATACTCGGCAACGGATTGCCGGTGAAATTACACAGAAGTTTGACACTATGACCTTCCGTGACGGCACTGGGGCATTGCATTGATGTTATACTTGGTGGAACTACAAGTAAAATAGAAGAAAAATCGAAGGAGGACTTTATCAGTTTTTCATATTGGCCTTTTGGACAGCGAGGGTAGTGACAAAGGAGCGGAAGTGATTATGGAGCCAATAACGTAGAAAGGTTTAGTTACAAGAAGAAACGTCTGACCACGGCCTTTATTTTTTGGGATTGAAATCGACAAGAAGAAAGAGAATGAGAAATAAAAAACAAACAAACAGAGTTCGATCGCGAGTTCTGGTAATGTCCTCATATCGAAAAGTCAAAATTTCTTTCGTCAGTCTTTAAATCAACTACAAAGTTAGAACGTCTCTTTAATCTTATGTTTATTTGTTGGACTGATTGTCAGCTGTAGGGGTTTTAATAATCTCGTATTAATTACGAAGTCGGCATACACTCATAAAACTTTGCAAATCTAAGAGCAAATGAGAGCTACTGAATATATGTTAAAGAGAAAGAGAACAGTCTGAATGGTTTCGTAGGTGATTTAGAAATAAATTTTGACGGCAGTTGCGAAAATAAAAGACATAATTGAGACCATACGAAAACTCTTAATGTCGAAAGTATGAAGACAAGTGCTACTTAAACCCGGGTCTCATTAGAGCTATATTTATTTGTTTAAGTGAAAAATCTGTCAACAGTTAGCGTAAAAGAAATACGACCCCCAATTTGAAAAACCTTGCCAAATTTGTGTAATGCGCCAAATTTATGGCAATCTTCACAGAATCCAATGTCCTTCCTCGGAGGCCTCCAAATTTTGGCAATACAAACATTCTTTCCTTTTTTTTTTTTTTTTTTACAAGTATTGAAGCCAGCTCAAGTAGTGCAAGCGTCAACCAAAACGCAAAAGATCAGTCGAAAAAAGCATTTGTTCCTCCGTAACAATTCGCAAGATATTTTTTTCTATTTCTCTTTAGAATGAGATAGGTTTATGAATGATGTAAGAATCAATAGGTGAAGTTTTGGTCGTAGGAGACCGTTGCCAAAATTTGGAAAGTGAGGAAATTTTGCCAATTCTTGGCTCGTCCAATGCTGGGAAATATTTGAATTCGCTGTAGTGCGACCCGGCCCTAAAATACTTTTTCATTGAGATGATATATTCTTGTCCATATATTGGCCCATAGAGTGCAAAGTATAACAAGTTTTGATACAGGCTCGCTTTAAACTGCTCTTTCGATGATTTTGGAGCTCGAAACGCGATGCAATAACAAATATTAAAAAGGAGATAATATACTTCTAAAAAGAATGATAATAATAATACTTGTAATTGTCATCATTATAATATCATAGTGACAACAATTTAAGAATTGATGATCGATAGAATATTTGCAATTTTTAAATTCACCGGATATTGCGTCTCTAGTGTCTTTTACCAGCTCACACGGATGTACATCGTATTACCTTATAAGGTAAATAAATCCAAGTGATGCTAAGCTGGATTTATTATTGGCCAGAGAAAACGCTTATCCCATGCAGTGGCAAGGAGGTAAAAAATATACTAGTAATGTCGCCTCGGTAATAGAGTATAATTTGTTTAGTGTGGAATTTTTATTCAGCTTCGGTAGTAAAGCGATGCTAAATCTTGTAATGTGGTTCAAGTGTGGCTGTTTGGCGGCCGGAAATAACACTGACCTCCAGTATACGTAAATTTAATAAAAGAGAAGGAGACTTAAAATAAATTCAGTTAGCTTCAACAACATGATTGCAAAGTATGAAATTAATTTCTCATACAAATGATGCTTTTGCGGTTTTCGGGACCGGACCGATCTAGAAGGAAACAAAGGCCAAATTCCTCTAAAAAGCAACACAGCAAAGTGGTGTAGTTCTTGAAAATTTGAGATCATTTAACCTTGAAATATGATGTTTGATAGGAAAATATTATTTTTATCAAAACCTACGTCTCACAGTTGCTCACTGCCGTTGTAACGTGACCATCTTTGTTTACATAGTTTTCTGATACCTACAAAATTTGGTCAGTGACCTTCTATGGCTTGTGTTTCATAACAGATCGTAAACAATCTAAACGACCTACAACAGTGCTGGGCTTGCGTCTTATTTCATTGTTTTGTTTTGTTCAACGGTGCTTAGAATAAACTCTAAAAAGCGGTTTCATTCAAGCTGCAAGTAGATTGATAGTTTGTATGTAGACTGATAGTTTCCTTTTTCCTCTTCTCTTGTCTTATTTTCTTTTATATTCTGGGCCCGCTGTAATTAGCTATGCTGTTGCGGTGTCTCTGCCATTTTTTTTTTTTGTCATTTTTTTGTCATTTTTTTTCAATCTATTTATTTTTATTGTTGTTGGTTGGCGAAGTTAATGAATAAATAAAATTCGTGCGGTAAAGGTGAAGATCAATTGAAAGAACTAAAGTAAATCCCGAGGTATTATCAGTCTCACTTCTTAAGATTGCTTTTAATCTTCCAAAAAAATTATGCAATCACCTACTTATACAAAGTCTTAGTGATGCTACCTGTTTTCTTGTTACTCCGTTACTCGTCACTGCGTTGTTCTGTTTAGTAACGCCCCCATCAATAAGAGGAAGGAGCCCGAATGAAGGCCACTCCGGTCTTATGTTTGTTGAGTTTTGTTTTTTCAGTTTTAACAATTTCAAACTCTCATTTTGTTTCGTTTTATTGGTTTCTATGACTGCATAAGATATTCCGTTAACTCATGGTAAGTTCTCAAGTTTCAGTAACGCATGAAACGACTCTCGAACGTAATTTTAAAAAAAACCGTAAATATTCTAAGAATAACCTTTCCTAGAAAAGAAGGAGCTTGGATAGCTATTGTTTGCAATCCCTCCGATTCACCGTCTACCGTAATTAAAATCAACAAAAATATCTCAGTCCACTATTCTTTTGGTTTCCCTTCGTATTTTTGCGAAATGATACGTCAGATTCAAATTCATAAGGGAATTAAAAGCTGCAGACGACATTCGCAAACAGTTCACGAAGATGCTGGTAGACATCATCTTAAGCGTGACGCCTACTGTAGTTCGCACACACCGGAACTCTGATTCTGCCCTCGCTATTCCTGTTATCTTTAGTGAAACCCTGCAAATTCTTAGGTAAATTCTATGAAAACGGCTGTAAGCCGTCAACGAAGGGTTTAAAACGGCTGAAAGCAGAGAGCGAAGGGTTATTTAAGTTTTTTTTTTCCGCTTGTTCTAATGTCAATGTTAAACACTCTTTCATCCAATCGAAAAGGGGGTTGTCATCTATTGTTTACAATCGCTTGACATGCTTCAAAGCTAAGCTAAGTATTCAAGATAGACAAATTATTTCGTTTACAGTAAATAAAGCACAATTCGCTTTACTTACATAGGACTCTGATATTCACATCGTTGTCGATTTCATCCAGATGTTGGTTTGCTATCTGAAAGCGATATGTGGCACTATCGGATCGTTGGACAGCAACAAGTGTAACCAAAGCTTGCTTATTTGTAATGTTGAAAATAAATCGATCTCGAAAGGCAGAAGCGACATTGACAGAGGCGTTAGACGATGACTTGAGAGCTATTAGCTTCTCTGATTGGTCATCACCGATGAGCAAAAACTTGGCAAATGCCAGTGAGCCATCGGTGTTGAACCTCCAGTGCAGATCAAGATTCTCATTTTCGATAACAAAGGCTGGATTTAAAGGCGATGAAATCCATACAGGCTGCAGTTCTAAGGAAATTGAAAAGATGCAAGTTAAGCCAAATCAAAGTAATTATAGCATTGAGAAATGCCTCAAGAATAAAATGAATTATAAGTTCTTTTAACTAGTAGGACAAATGTGCGCTTCCACTTTGACAGCAGATGGAATTGAGATCAGTGAGTTGACGTTGCATCGCGCCACGTGGCAACTACTTTGTTAGGCATTTCGCCCAACATAGTAACTGACTAACGTCAAGAGACAAACAGTGGAATTAAATGAAAGTAAGAACTCTTATATATGTGTAATCGAACTAAGTGAGGTCAAACAAAGGCCCAGTAAAGGGAGAGAGTATAATTTTGAAACAATAATGAATGATCGATGATGTCAATTAAGCCATATGATAATTATTAATTCAACGGAGAACAAAACAAAGTCTCTGGTTAGACGTTAAATCTCGAGATAACAGAAACTGCACACTTCGCCATATGACGGAAGTAAATTAAAATCTTTATACTAATAATCTCCACCAAACTTACCTGCTTTTCCCACGATCATGAATATCCAGAATAGTAGTGTAGCAAACGTACGGAAGCATCCCATCATTGGCTTTTTCTGTCCCTGGATAAACAAATTGTTGACCCGAAGACGATTTCTGCAATGTTGACATCCCTTGCGTGTTCTGAGAAATCAATTTACGAAAGCGAAAGTTAAGCTGATACCCAGAAACGTCCACAATTCATGTCGTGCCTAGGGAGGGCGAAAACATAAATAACAGAAGGAAAAGGAAACTGATAATACATGCAGGGGCCGCAAATTCATCGGGTTATACGGCTGCAAAAAAATCAGGCTTTACTTTGAGATCTGCAGAGTTATCTACATATTTACTTTCGTGCGAAATTTCGAACAAGACTTGCCTATTCCTTGAAGTACGTTCGCTGGTAATTGGATACTAATGCAATGAGCTTGTTGTACAAATTAGTGTCTTGAAGTTAGAAAGCGAAAGGTCACCTTCTGGGAACTACACCTACTTATCTTAGTGTTGTCTCTAGCGATTCGTTTTCAAGGCCATTTTTTATCATCTCGTGACGTTTCCCATGGATGGAACTCAGTTCGTGGTCATCATGATACTCATTCCAGTTCTGGCAGGTAAGCAATGAAGACGAATCAGCGTTCTAACACAAATTCTTGAGCGACGATTTCTTATCTGTAAGATCATTAAACCTTGTTCCTGATGTTACAATATTTAATTGTATTCTACTTACAATTTACTGAGTCTACTGAATTGAAAAGATCCTTTCATTGGAAATAAACCTAAAATCGCGGCTAGTCTCGATAACTGATCGCTTGGTGAAATGCCTTGAAGAACCAAACATTTCACGGTGCAACACGTCTATTAATCGAAAAGGCATCTCCGAATGACCTGGACTCACACGAATAGAAAACGAAGCCGGGAACGCCATGAACTTTTCACTTCAACTTTACTTAGCTGAATCAAAAAATAATTTATTTCAGACGTCTTGCAAATCACTCTTCTGAGGATTGAAATTCAATGTTTTGCGAAGACAGAGGAAATTATATATCAAGTAGCTTCCTGCTACTAAATTCAATTACCAGATATTTTTTTTAAAGATAGTTCGTGTTAGTTCGTAACAAAATTGTCTGAAACAAAACCCACCTTCAGTGTAGAGCAGTTTCAGTTTTTTACCCATAAACCTTGGTAAGCTAAATTGGTTCAGTTTCAGTAAAGTTCATTAAAACTGAATCAATTTAGCTTACCAAGGTCGATTTAAAATGTTGTCGGGTCGCAATGATTGGGTAAA